GCCCATTTCTGTGCATATTTTTTAAAATTAGGGATTTTCTCTCCCATCAAGACCAACTTCAAAGGCCTAGCTTCCTGTGCAAGTAAACACATCTTCCCCAGATGAACGATGTATGCCACCATCCATATGGGACATTTGAAAGATGACAGGCAGTCAAAAATACACTAGCTGTCCACTATATCATTTAAACAAAGCTCACTGAGACTCTTGGGGCCCAACTGGGAAAATAACAGTGTAAACTGTGGCTGAATGGAAGAATTGAGAAGATGAGGCCATGAAACCAGGTTCACCCACAGGAGACACAGAGACTCAGCTATAAATGCCAAAGCAGAGTCATCACCAGACCAAACACTCCTCGCTAGAAGGTCCTCGAGGGCACAGATGTCCTCTTTACACCAGGCAGGATCCCTCCCCACCACTGTGAGTAGGTTTTTCTGGTAACAATGTTAATTAAACTAACTGGGGTGTATTCAGATGTATCTGTCCTCCTGAGACCTTTGGATAGGGTCTGTCTCTTCTAAAGGGGACAGGGGACAGGAGCATACATCTCAGTCATCTGGGAAAGATGTTGGTCCTTGCACAAGAAGCTAGACCTTTGAAGTTGGACTTGGAAGGAGAGAAAATCCCTGTGTCCTTGGGCCTTATGTTCCAAAGTCTAGAGTTGGGGTAGTAGAGTCATGCTCAGGACACTTGGGGGCTCTCCTAGGGAGTGTGAAAATGGTAGGCTCTGCTCCTCCACAGCAGGCTGAGAACTAGGCTCAGAGGCTAACTGGAAATGGCCACAAAGGTCCCATTCTAGGGACTGTGTTCCCTTCCCTATGTCATCCCCAAGCCTTGAGGAAAGTGGTATTTGGAGGCTCCAATCTCGTCTCACATGGGCAAGGGGTATTATGACAACATTTGTGGGTCTGCCCTTAGATCAGAGGAGTAGAGGAGCCCAGTGTTCCCCAACTGGAGCCAGGATGGTGGTGGCATCAGTTATCACCAAGAGAAGTTAATATCTGAGAGCTACATTTGAGGCTGAGGGCCCCATTTGACCCCCTCAATTACAGATTTCTGAGAACCCAGGAGGTAGAATGGTGGATTCCCCTTCAAGATTTCACAATAAATGCATGTTTGATACAGCATCAAAAATACTAGCTTAGTATAAGGGCAGCCATGTTAGAGCTTAACGCTGAGGAAAGAACTCTGCTTGAACAATGAACAATCACTGCAATTTGTAGGAGGAATAAAGCAAGGCCATAACTCAGCAACTTGCAAAACTAACAGTCTTGTTTAAATTTGCAGGTGTTCTGGGAAGGAGATAAAGCCAGAGCCAAGAAGTCTGACTCCAGGCTTCACAGGACTGAGACCAAGGACGAAGATTAAGACATGCTGATCTGCACATAGTCACAGACCCGATCCCTCCTGTATTTTTCAGCACACTTCTCCCTTTGTCCTTTTATCTTATGTAACCCACTCTGAAACCCTAAAGTGGAGAGACAGTTCTATACTGTCTCCTTAAACGTCTGATAATAAACTTCCTGCCTGGCACCAACATTTGGGACTGATGAGTCTTTTGTTTCTGAGAAGAGAGCAGCAGGACCTGGATGCTGGTAACATGTTGAATGAACAAAACATTGTCAAAAGGGAAAGGCAATACTTCCAGGAATAGGCAAATCAGCAAGAGTCATCCTTGGGAGGTTACTGGAATTAAATTAAAAAGTGTTTGGGGCCCAGCGGTGGGGACCCAGGCAGTTGGTAACAGGGAAGTACGTCAGGAAGTTAATAGGCCCCAGCTCAGAAGCAAGGTTAACGGAGATTCCGTGCCAGGGAGAGGTGCCCTCAAGAGCAGAGCGATGTCCTGGGGGCAAAAGGATGAAGAAAATGAAGAGTAATGAAATTGTTCTCTTGAGGGACTTGAACTTTAGTCCTGAGGTACTAGCAAAGCTACCAAGGCCAAGATTCAGGTGTATAGAACAAGGGCAAAAACCAATTCACACAGCTGGGAAACAGAAGCCAGTGATTTGAGACTCTATCCTCAGGATGTTGGGCCAGAGTTTGAGGAATGGGGTATAGAGATAGGAGCCATGAAAAGACTGGGGACCAAGCAGAGTTTGACACGTGCCTATTAGTGAGTTCAGAAATCTCAATACATTTCTACTGCACTTGAAAAGCTGACAGAAGGTAAAAAGCTAACAGGCCTGGTCAGTTAGCTTAGTTGATTACAGTGTGGTGTTTGGATCCCCTTATTGGCCAGCTGAAAGAAAAAAAAAAGTGACAAAACCAACAGAAAAAGATCAATGCTGCATCATAAGAGAGAAAAGTGTCAAATGCCTATTCAACAAACTCTAATAAACTAGCCAAAATCCTTTTTCTGGCCTGTAATTCAGTTACTTAAATAAGTGAATCTGTTTTAACATAAGTGAATTTGCCTTCTTGACAAGAAGAATCTATGTCACAGTCAGCTTTGATATTATCAACCAAAGAGACTTTTAGGGGCGGCCAGTTATCTCAATTAGTTAGAGCATGGTGTTGGTAACACCAAGGTCAAGAGTTGGGATACATGCACCAGCCAGCTGACAAAAAATAAAAGGATCTTTAAAGCTGTATCTAGTCATCCAAAAATCTGTTTATTATTACTATTACAACAATGGACCATTGAATAATCATTAAAATAACTTTATTAATATAGACAACATTTACAAACATAAAGTGTGCTGTGCTTAAACTAAAATTTAGTGGAGTTTTCTGGTAATCTTACCTTCTCATTGTTTAATATTGAAAATAGTTTCATTCATATATGTTGCTGCATTGCATTTAGCCTTCTTACATTGTTTTGTGATGATGAATATGCTAATTACCCTGATTTGATCATCACACGTTGTATACATGTACTGAAATGTAACTGTGTACCCCGCAAATATGAATAATCAATACATTTCTATTAAAAAACAATTCCCGTTTTAACAAGATTCACAGAATTACAGCCTTCTAAAATGTTCTTAGAACTATAGCTTTTTTTTTTTTTTTTTGTCTTTTTCCATGTCCGGCAACGGTTCGCAACCCTGTGTTGCCCCCGTACCGGACCAGGGACCGGCAACGGAATCGCAACCCTCGGTGTTGCCCCCGCGCCTCGCTCAGCCAGTGAGCGGGAACCGGTCTGTATGTGGGATCCGAACCCTCGACGGGAGCGCCGCCGCGCTTCCCAAGCGGCGCACTAGCGCAGTGCACCACCGGGCCGGCCCTGAACTATAGCTTTTATTATAAGACTATATCGCGGCTCCTCACAATTGTTTATAATAAATACTATCACTGTAGAAGCCAAATGATAACTCACTCAATAAAATAATCATGTATTAAGCCAATTAATGCCCCGCCATCTAAGCAGAAAGGCCCCAAATCTCCTTTTCAAGACATAGTTTAGTGGTTGTATTACAAAATAACTTGGTCTTCCAAAATCAGAGTGGCGAGCAGCACGGTTTAACACCATCTACAACACAGTGCTGTGGTTTAAAGAAGGAAACACACTGGCTCCTTTGACTACCCTCCCCATCTTTCTAGTTGCCCAATTCTATGGCAAAAGCAATTTTCCAAACCTAAAAAAGTCCAATTTTCTGAAGTGGATGGGACACAACAATCTCATGAAAGTCAACCTCTTAGGACCAGCCCCGCGGCTCACTCGGGAAAGTGTGGCGCTGGTAGTACCGAGGCCGCAGGTTCGGATCCTATATGGGGATGGCCAGTGTGCTCACTGGCTGAGCGTGGTGCAGACCACACTGTGCCAAGGGTTGCAATCCCCTTACCAGTCAAAAAAAAAGTCAACCTCTTATTGTGTGCCAAACATGCAAATGCACAAAACTCAGACATTTTGTCTTTTTTTATAAAAGGGTCCCTAAGACAGGAAATTGGGTCTGGGTCCCTACAGTAAGTTAGGATTTTCCTATTACTTACTGAAAAACTTTTGGGAGGCTGTCCATTTAGCTCAGTTGGTTACAGCTCAGTGTTATAACACCAAGGTCAAGGGTTTGAAAAGCCTCTAGAGAGTCTGATATAAGACATAGGGAGGCTTGACATAGACTTATGGAAACCTAACATTTCAATCTCCGATTAGAGATGAAGCTACACGTAAAACCTTACATTTCCATTGTGCCCAAGGATTTTTATCACCTCTGAAAGGTCAGAAAACACATTCAAACACTTTAAAAGTGGACACTGAAGTCATTTCTACAATTGCTTATCAACTAGCTTGACTGATTGATGTCTGCAGCCAATGGATCATGAAGACAGGAAAAAGGACAACCTAGATGTTTGGTTTTATCATTCAGTATCCACAGAGAGGCTATTATAAGGAGAGTGCAGTAACTCCATTAGGCTAATTTACTGATCTTAACATTTTCCCACCCATAGAGGGTGTCCCAAAAGTCTTAGAATAGTTTTGAGCTTTAGTAAGTTCAGGTTTGTAAATGCAGCAAACTTCAAAAAACAGATCATTCGGAGGTTTAGTTGGTTCAACTTCATTATACTTCTTCAGTTTTGTGACTTTTGACAACACATTTTTAGGTTTAGCTATTGCTACTTAAGTACCTGTGCTTGAAAATAGCAAACAGCAATTGCTTTTAACTTCTTAGAGCTTAAAACTGTGCTAAGACTTGTAGAATACCCTGTATGATTACCACATCTGAGTCCTAGTTCTAGCTCATTTCACCTGATGACTGACATTTAAACTCTGAAATGGAATGTTTTCTTTAGAAGTCCTCTTATTTTCTTGCTATAACCTCAGGGCAAAGCCAACTGAAAAATTTTTTTTTTTTTTTTTTTTGTCTTTTTGAGACCAGCCACACCGCACTCAGCCAGTGAGCGCTTTGAGTGCACTGGTCATCCCTATATAGGATCTGAACCCGCGGAGCACACTCTCCCGAGTGCGCCACGGGCTCGGCCCAAAATTTCTCTGTTTCTTAAAGCTTCCTCAGTTACACATGCAGGGATGTGATTAATTTTGTAAAAAAACAAAGACTCACAGTTCTCAAATTCTGATGGAATAGCACTAAATCTCTGCCTCTATGTTTGATGACAGTTCCACTGAAAAGGATTTGGGGCAGCACTGTGATACAGAACACCAAAATGGTCATATTTTAATGAACTTCCACAGATTCATCCAGTTAAAAAAACCTGTCTTGACTCCAGGTGTTTCCTCTCCTTCACCTTGATCAATGTTATTTGGGTTTTTATCTGTGACTTTTGTTTCTATAAGAGTTTCATATATTTTCTGGGCTCTGATAATTTCTTTCTGTGCATCAAAATGGACTTTTTGCCTGGTCAGGATGGGAACAATTAAATTAAAATCATTAATTCGCTTGTTTAGTTTTCTGATGTTTTCCTGAAACTGCTCACAAACTTGTTTCCACTGTTTCTGTTCAGTTGGTGTCATTGGATTCCCAAGTTTTTTCCTAGACACTAAAATTCCCTCTCTGAGTTGCTCAATAGTATCCTTTATTTCCTTTTGCATTAGGATCCATTCTGGTTGGTATCCATTATCTATCAATATTCTGTTCAGGTTGTGAGTCATGGGATCAATATATGAACAGCCAGAAAACTTTTTTAGAGGTTTTCCTTTCCCACTGAGATTGTCAAAGTCTCCTTTTGCCATTGATTCCTGAATGAGGTCCTCCACTAAACGCTCTATTGCTTGAGTTATCTTTTGTTCTTTGCTCTGTTTTACATCTTTAACAGTTAGACTATCAGTGAAATACTGGCTGTGTAGTTTCTGCTTTTGATATTCCATCACTTGCTCTGTTGCACGGTCTGCCCTAAATTGCCTATATTGCTTCTCTCGTTGACTTGGAGTCCCAAAACCAATACCTTCAAAACTTAAATAATGCCGGTGTTGGGGTGTTTTATATTTGAATTTTTCTTCTTCTTCTTCTGCTTCAACTTTACTCTGTCTGGCATTTGTTTGTTCTATCACGGAGGAAAGCACCCTTCTATAAGCTTCTTCGATCTTTATAAATGTTGCAGAATCAGCGGTATTAGAGCCACTGTCTGGATGGTATTGCTTGGCCAACTTACGAAAAGACTCCCTGACATCATCTGCAGAGCATCCTTCATTCAGATTCAGCAGCCTATAATATTCTTTGATCTCCTTTTTGGATTTATAGGTCAACATCATTCTATTTCTAATGACGCCAAGATATGGAAGCATTTTCACTCGACTAGGAATCACTGAGGCATTTATCAGATGAGATCTTAAGATTTGAGCCATCATCCCGTACATTGCATTCATTATTGTGCCCAGAGTTCTTCCTAGGAACAATCTGTAAAACAACAATTATAGATTAAATAAAGTTGTATTATCAGATAATTTCTTATTTTCGTTAATAAAGAAGACAGGGAGTGAAATCACAAGTACACTAAGGGGCAGTTCCTTGTAATGCTGCTTTCAAAATTTTTTTTTTTTTTTTTTTTTTTTTTTTTCCGTGTCCGGCAACGGATCGCAACCCTCAGTGTCGCCCCCGCACCGGACCGGGACCGGCAACGGGATCGCAACCCTCGGTGCTGCTCCCGCGCCTCGCTCAGCCAGTGAGCGGGAACCGGTCTGTATGTGGGATCCGAACCCTCAGCGGGAGCGCCGCCGCGCTTCCCAAGCGTCGCACTATCGCAGTGCGCCACCGGGCCGGCCCCTGCTTTCAAAATTTTTATAGCTATATTTCACTGATGTTAGTAGAGAAATGGAAGTTGATGATGTTTAGCATTAACATATTGTGATATAATCTGTATTCTACTCCTCATTAACCATAGAATTTTAGAGATGCAAAGTTCTTAAAGATCATCTCATTCAATTTTTCCTTTAACAAGAAAATGTAGGCCCAGAAGGTTAAACAACTCAACAAGTCACATAACAAGGTGAAAGCAAAATGGTTAGGATTAAGACGCTTGCTTAATCGTCTCTTTCCCCGACAGATTATAAACTTCATCAGCACCACTATTTCTTCAATTAGTTTATCATGGTCTTCATCATCTCAGGGAGTCTTCTCAGAAGACTTATGCATATGAAACAAACAACATTACAAAATATGTATCTAGTCTGACGCTAGATTGAATAGAATCAAGTTTCCGAAAGATTTTAAGCTCCGTGGCTCGTCAGGGTAGAGCTAACTACGTGTCAAGAAAATCAAGATGAATGGTGAGCTCTCCCAACAAGTTCGCTGCTTTAAAAACTCATGGTCTAGTAGAGGAGAAAAGCTTCTACATAGACAATGGCAATTAAATCCTGGAAGCGGCTTAATTGGAAATGTGATTTTTTTATATGTAAACCCTAAAACGGAGCTCCTGGGAACCCTATTTTCGGGACAATTGGTGTCAACACCTTTCAGGGTTGGCTGGAACGGTGGTGGCTATGGCTTCCTTGGCCCTCGCGGCGATGTGCCAGGCCAGCCCGGAACACACCCCGCCCCCCCACTCACCTTCACGGGCGCGGGGAAGGGGTTGGCCGCTCCCGCCCCCACGCTGCACCTCTGCGCATGCGTGCGCGGCCCTCCTTTCTCTCTCACAGCGTCTCCTCTGGGCTAGGCCATCTCCCGTTTTACAATGAGGGGACGCCAGGGGGTGCGGAGGGCAGAATCGTACCTGATTGGGACAAGTGACCTGCCTTACCAGGGAAACTGAAAATCTCTCTTAAGACGAACTTTCCCCAAGAGGACACAGGCAGGACATCTCGAGAGGCTCCGATTCCGCCCCCCGCCCGAGCGGACGCCGTTCGGCCGATTGGGATTGTGGGAGATGTAGTTCGCCGGGAGGTACAGACGCGGACCCGCTGTGCGCCTGCGCCTCCCAGGAGGGACGTGGGGGCGTCAAGAATGGTATGGAGGCGTGTGGGGCTTGTCGCAGAGTATGGTGGGGGCAGGAGTATATGGGACCTTTGACGTCGTTGTGGTTCGGAGGGCAACGGCCCTCGGTAACTTGTTTCGGCCCGGGGAAGACTAGACCGTTTCCCCGAAAGGGACCTGAACAGCCTCTTCCGGGTTTACTGAAGGGAACAACTGCGCACATACAAGAAAGATCTTGCGGGCGGCCACGAAGCTACTTAGCAGATATCAACGCTTGGAAACCTGGTCTCATTAATTCATCGAGTACTGTAGAGCAGCTTGCAAGGCGCCGGGCGTTGGTAGAGGCTGGGGACCGGTCAGAGGACAAAATGAAAATAGAGGTCTTCTGGCTTGCGTTCAACCACTGACCTGGGGATTACACATCCTCCTCGCCCCCTGCTGTACAGGAAACAGTTTAAAACAAAACAGAACAAAAAAGGACAAAAGAAGGAAAAGGCAGAGTCTTGGGAATTTTCAAACGTGGTTTGGAAATCTTGTTTCTACCACTTGCTGTGTACTTGAGGCAAGATACTTCTCTGTAAAATGAGAGTACCAATAAATAGTAAACATGTATTTAGCACTAAATATTACCAGGCACTGTGCTTTGTGCTTTATATAAATGTATTCTCTTTTAATCTTCACAACAGCCCTGAAAGATAAATGCTGTTATTTTCCCCGTTTTACATATGAAATAATATTTGCTTCAAACTCACTTTTATTTTTTACTTACTTACTTACTTATTTATTATGGGAAGTACACGATGTGTGTAAATGACTTGGCACAGTACCTGGCACATTAAACAATGTTTTTTGTTATGACTGTGTCTCCTCCCAAAGGAGCCAGACATAGGTACTAGCCTTTCTTACCTTCTGAGTTATAAACCATATAATCGTTTATTACCTTCTGTGTAGGCAGAAAATGTACAAATTCTGATTCAGAGGGATTTAGTTACAAGCAAGCAATAGGCAAGAAATAACTCCCGTGTGAAATAAAATAGTGTTTCTACAAATATTAACTCTTCTAGTCAACATCTTAAACTGCATAAAATGGGGGGAAAGCACGAATACAGTATAAAAATAACAAAACACTCATGCTTGTATGGCACTTTGTGTTTTACAAAGTATTCAACACAAATCTCATTTCGATGTCTACATCTTGCAAGTAATTAAGTGTTAGGGTTAGGTTGGCAAATAGCAAAGCTAGGACTGGAACTTTACGTCTATTTCTCTTTTTAGAGTATCAATTTTATGGTATGATATTCTGTACATGTAGAAAGTGAATTGGGATTGGCTGAGTTATCGCTAAGAAATGCTGTCAACTTCAAGACGTAAACTAGCTAACACTGACTTGGATCATTTCTCTCATGTGTAAGAAACGTGGAGGTAGGCAGCTGCTGGTGGTATTGGTTCAACTGCCAAGAATTCACACATTTGCTTTACCAGTCTCTTTCTCTCTATATATACGTCTTTTCTCAATGATATAAAAGTTAATTGCATACATCATGTGTCTTTACCCCCAAATCTTAGTATTTATTTCCTTAAAACAAGAACATTCTTGGGACTGGCCAGTTAGCTTAGTTGGTTAGAGCACAGCCTTAAAACACCAAAGTCAAGGGCTCAGATCCCCATTACCAGCCAGCTGCCAAAAGAAAAAAAAAAAAAAAAAAAAAAAAAAAAAAAAAAAAAAAAAAAAAAAAAAAAAACAAGGACATTCTTTTATAAAACCACAGTACTATTATCAAATTCAGCAAATTTCACATAGATACAATATTATCTAATCTATAGTGTTGTATTGCAGTTCCACTAATGGTCCTAATGATGTCCTTCAGAGCAACACATAGATCCTTAAATCAGCAGGTCAAATGAGTGCTAAACCAAAGCATTCTTGTGCAGTAGACTTATGGGCCAAAAGGGTCCACCATTTTAAAATATGGTGCTTTTCCATTTAAAAAGGTTGCTGCACATTCTGCAGTCAGCTGTCCCAGGGATTACATTAAGATGTTGTTAAAAGATCAAATTTAGAGTCAGAACAAGACACTCAGACTTACTAGCATTTTAAATTACTATCATTATTATTGTTTATTTGGCTGGCCAGTACAAGGATTGAATCTTGGAATTTGGTGCTATCAGCACCACACTCTAACCAACTGTGCTAACCAGCAAGCCCAGCATTTTAACATTATGTTACTTTGTTTAATTAAACTCCATAGATTTTTTTTTTCCTTTTTGTCTTTTTTCGTGACCGGTAAGGGGATCGCAACCCTCGGTGTCGCGCCCGCACTGCGCTCAACCAATGAGCGGACCAGTCTCTATATGGGATCTGAACCCTCGGCGGGAGCGCCGCCGCACTCCTAAGCACCGCACTCTACCGAGTGCGCCACCAGGCCGGCCCGCATAGATTATTTTAAAAAAACGTTCAGTTTTCAATATAACATTGTTAAGCATTTAAAGGTTATGTCATGATTAAAATCAACATGCTTTGGGCTGGCTGGTTGGCTCCCTTGGTTAGAGCACCACCTTGTAACACCAGGGTCAAGGGTTTGGATTCTGGTATTGGCCAGCTGCCAAAAAGAAAAAAAAATTAACATGCTTTAACCTTAGTCTATCATTTTCAACAAAGTCAGTGGTAATTACCTCGGGTTTATCAGTAATCTTACACATAAAGACTGGTTTTAAATGAAAGTATGGTGGATTAGATGTATGTGAAATTTCTTAGTTCAGAACATCTTTTTCTTGATTCTGTGCTGTTACAATATAGTTGAGCATTTTGAAACATTTCCTGATAAAAAGTGGAGAGTAGATGGTATGGTTGGCACAAATTTAGTTAGAAAGCACACCAAAACCAAATTATTAATTGTGTTGCTCGGTGAGTGGAAATAGATGTGATATTTTTAAAAGTTACTAAAATTTCCTTACTTTATAGTTATGTATTAAATATTTACTGAGCTACTGCAAGAAATGTGCCAGTGCAAAAATAACCCCTTTTCTCTTTGTGTACTTGCAAATGTCTTGTAATTTTACACTTTAACTAGAGCAAGTGAGGACTCTATTTTAATCCTTTCCCCAGCCTTTTGTTTGCTGGTTCCATGCTATATGCAAAGAAGTTAACATGTTTCCAATAAATCATGGTGCCATAGTAACCAAAGTCCACACCTCCTTGTAGATTGATTTAAATTCACTTTGTGCCTTAAAACCACATATTGTCCAATGACATTTGCAAATGATATCATCTTGGAGCTGTAATTCCTAGAACCACTGTGAATATGCTTTCCTCTGTGATTGCCATCTCAACTCCTCTTTTACGCTATTTGATCAAGAAGGAGCTTGACAAAGAGAGTGCAGCTTTAAAAGAAAGTGGTAGATCAAGAAGCACACGAATACTCTAAAATATAGAGGATGTGGGGGAAAGGTACTGTGGAAAAGAGAAGAATCACACTAATTTGGATATTTTGCCCTTTCCTCTCTTCCTAGCTGGGTTAACCAGTCATTGAACTATCCTAAGGTGGTTCAGTAAGGGCCACACATAGGATTTGTGGAACCTTGCAAATGGTACCCTGCCCTCCCCCACCCAGGCTGTCTGATTTTAATTCCAAGCTTTGAAGTGATTTATTGTCACTTGAGCCTGAATTATCTGCATTTGGCTGGTGCTGACCAGCACTTTCTGTTCCTTAGAAATTATGAATAATGTATATACCACCAGCTAATTGCAGGCTACTAATGGGGAAAACGAGTGCACATCAGCTGCCTGGGAATCAAGATTTGAATTGTTTTCACCCATATTCCATTTACCCAGCATATTTATTGAAATTGCTGCTTTATAGCACAACTAATCTTTGCTTTACTCACCCTTCGAAATGTTTTGATAAGTTAAAAATATCTTAGCTCGGTTGGTTAGAATGCAGTGCTGATAACACCAAGGTCAAGGGTTTGAATTCCTGTGCGGCCAGCTGCAAAAAAACCAACCAACCAAACAACAAAAAAAAAAACAGCAAAGAAGTTAAAAATACCGAGACATGGAGGGTTTGCTTCCTTTTTCTCAACACTCACCAATCGTCAAAGATTTTAGCAACAAAACTCTGAATACATTAAAGCTGTCAATAACACTATTTGCTAGAAAATCATCTATGATGCTTTAGCAGACAGAATTGGTTTTAAGGCAAATCTAACTCCAAAAACAGCTTTGTAATGAGATGCAAGGGTGCTTCCATTCAAAAAGCCCACTACTAGGGATGGCCAGTTAGCTCAGTTGGTTAGAGTGTGGTACTGATAACCTGATAACACCAAGGTCCAGGGTTTGATCCCTGTACCTGCCAGCCACCAAAAAGCCCACTACCCAAGAATTGCCCCGAATGACCCTTTCACTTTAGGGCTTGTCCAGAGAGACCTCAAAGTCTGGGTGGGAGGAGACTGGATCATATGCCCCATGCTATTCTCACTAGAAGAACACAGAAGATAAGCACATAAATCCAATTGTTACCCAAGCTCCCCTTTGAGAAGGCTCTTCCTGACCAAATAAATAGCATTTTTATATTAAATTAAAGAATCACATAATTTCTTTTCATTCCTTGACAGCTGAAATTTATTTTCCTGCTCTGGGGGATATCCACAATGAGTGTTTGATTCTGTCCTTATTCTTAGGAAATTATACATTGAAATGTTTATGGATAAAATGATATGCTGTTTGCAAATTACTGTCTAAATGATTTAGAAATAAGTGCATGTGTGAGAGAGAGAGCATGCAAATTATAGAGTACATGGAGTCAAAGTTTAATAGGGAAATCTGGGCAAAGGGTGTTTAGGAGGTTTTTGTATTATTCTGGCAACTTTTTTGTAAGTGTGATTCATTTTTAATCTTCAAAAATAATTTATTTATAACTGCCAAAAATTTGAAGCAATCAAGATGTCCTTCAATAAGTGAATAAACTCTGTTTAATCCATACAATGGAATATGAGGATATTTCAAAGAGTTCATGGAAGATTCTTATTATCTTTTAATTCTAATTTTCCACGAACTTTTGGAAGTTCATATTATTCAGTGATAAAAAGAATTGAGTTATCAAGCCATGAAAAGACATGGAGGGAAACTTAACTCATATTGCTAAGTGAAAAAAGCCAATCTGTAAAGGCCGGTTACCATATGATTCCAACTATATGACATTTTGGAATAGAAAAAACTCTAGAGGTCATAAAAAGATCAATGGATTAAAAAATTGAGGAAAGAACTTGAGTAGACCTTTCTACAAAGAAAATATACAAATAGCCAAAAAGCAAGTGAAAAGATACTCAAACATCACTATTTATTAGGGAAATGCAAATCAAAACCACAGTGAGCTATCTCCTCATATCCATTAGGATAGCTGCTATCAAAAAAAAAAAAAAAAAACCCAGAAAATTACAAGTGTTGGCTAGGATGTGGAGAAATTGGAACCCTTGTGCACTGTTGGTGGGAATATAAAATGGTGCAGCTGCCATGGAAAACAGTATGGTGGTTCCTTCAAAAAATTAGAAATAAAATTACCATGTGACCCAGCAATACCACTTCTGGGTATTTATATTCAAAAGAGGGCTGGCCAGTTAGCTCAC